GAAGATGGAGGCAAGACTTTGAAAAGTGAGGACGACGCTTCTGACAATGAGTCAGAATCGCCTAAGGCCAAGAGCAAAACCAATAGTCAAAATGGATCTGCTAAAAAGTCTGATGGTGAAGAAGCAGATGGGTCTAGCAGCGAGAAAGAAGAAGACGAAGAGGATGAGAGTGATGAGGAGGAGGAGCCAACTGATCATCTTGCTCATCAAGTGAAGAACTACAGAAGCACAAAGTGGCATGACAGACTCAGAAAGCGTAATTTCAAGGACGGCAATTGGCAAGTCATTCTCCTCGGAGTCTTATCGATGGTCGAGTACATCCCAGCGTACGAGGAAACTATTAAATCTGTTTACAGAACGCTTGCTCCAATTCTGATCCAGCCGGCGAATGCTTCAACAGTTTTGAATCAATTCTACAGCTCGATGAGTCTTGACTTGCGAATCAAGACATTGCACATCTTGACTACGTTGTTGATCAACGGAACTTTGGTCAGAAGCTACATTGATGACTGTCTCGAGCAATCCACCTCCTTGAGGCGTACACGTCTTGATGTTATTCGTGATTATAGAGATGCATTGAGCACTGCAACCAAGGCTCACACCGCCATTTTTGAGAAACTCTTCGAGGCTTTCGACAATAACAACAATCCTGATTTATGGTCAGGATTCAACCGAAAGAAGCCAAGATTCCATACAAAGGGCTACGCTCTCACCGAGTATGAACAGTCTTTATATGATACTGACGAGGAGTTCAAGAGTACTTGGCAGCAAAGAGACGAATACATTGAGAAAATCAAGACTTTGAAAGAGGACTTGAAGAAGGTCGAAACTCGTCTCACCGAAATCGACTGTCAAAGGGTGCGTCTCCTCGGAAAGGATAGACATTTCAACAGGTATTGGTGGTTTGAAAACAATGGTTTACCAAATCTTCATTTCTCCAGTGGCATGGATGAAGAAGACGATGGAGATCACGCAGACGCTGACGATTATGACGTTGATGACAAGGAGGAAGTACAGGAGGAGACTTATCTCATGGGAAGATTGTGGATACAAGGACCTAGCGTTGCTGATGTGACTCTTAATATTTTGCTGACCCCTAATGATATGAAAACCATTGCTGAGAACATTGTGGACGATAAAGGTCATTTAAAGAAGGAGGAGTCTAAAGACGAACCTGAAGGTATCGAAGTACACGACTTCCAGGATGGAGGTGCTCCAGTCAAGGTCATGAACTTTTCAAAGCTTCCTTCGAGCTACAGGGAATTGAGTGCCAAGTTTGGTGTTGAATTCGATCAAAGTGAGATAAAGGTAAACGGAACGCCAGTTATTGACCGCTTGGGCGCGCTTCCAGAGACACAAGACGCCAGTGACTTGGATCCTATGCATAGAAAGTTGATCGAGGAAGCACCATGCCCTCTCACAGCAGGTGTCGACTGGAGATACTATGATGATGAAGAAAGCATTGACAAATTGATAAGTTGGCTCAACCCTTGGGGTGTTCGTGAGTCAAGCTTGAAAAAGGAACTAGTTAGAGTCAAAGATGCACTTCTTACGAGTATTGCAGCACGCAGAAAGGCACTTTGGTTGGATGGTGTGCCCAAGAATGAAAGCGAGGACATAAACACTCAAATTGGGGAAGTCGAAACCAGAATTGATCAGTTGAAGGATGGAAACCTGAATGATAAGTCTGAAGATGAAGATGAGTTGGTCAACGGTACTAAGAAGCGTACGAACAGACAATCCTCAGGTCGCCCAAGCAAGCGTCAAAAGTCACCAGAGGAGACAATTAAGTCTGGCTCGATAGAGGAGCTCAACGAACTTCACGCCAAATTGATTCACGACAAGCAAAACAAGAAAACCGAGAATCAAGTCACGAGAGTGCTCGAATGGGTCAATTCAAAAGCTAACGACGCCTTCGATAAGACGCTCTACGAAGGCGGCGACAAGGCTAAGCCAAAACCCAAAAAATCACGCAAGTAAATTGCACTCAGTATAGACGATGCTCATGATGAGACATGTAAAATTACTATTAATGCGCTCTTCTTTTGTAAGCATTGTAGGATGAACCTGAATCGTCTCTCGGACGCTTTGAACGATCTCGTTCATCCCTAGTTTTTGTGACAAGCTCCTTAAGCTTCCTTTCCTTTTCTTCTTGCTCCTTCTGAGCCAACACCCTTCGTTCCTCATTTCTAATTTTGATCTCTTCACGAGCCTGTTCATCCGCATTCTCTAAGGCCAGAGCTAACAGACTGAATTTCTCGACATTAATGGTAGCATTCTCAGCGAGTTGACCGCCACTGGCAGCTTCTTGTCTCTTTCGAAGAGAAATAGAGAAGCCCTTGTTATTGCTCCAATTTGACACAACGGACGGAATGGCCCATTTGTCTTTGATTTCTTTCGTGACCTTCTCAGTTGGTGCTTTCTTGAGAAGTGGAGGTGGCGGAGAAGGATCTTGATGTCTATTCTTGCGTAGTTTGTGCTTAGGAGGCAACATGGGATCTTCCTGGCGAGTAGTGATCTGGATAGTTCTTCCTCTTTGTTCTTCAGATTCGTCGAGCGATGGGGGCACATACGTAATCGTCTCGTCTGTAGCTGTCTTCTGCTCAGTGCCGAGTTGTTGAGCCAAAAGCCGTTGCACCACCTCTCTGGTGCCTTCAAAACATTCACTGAGGGATGGGTCGGGACAAGTCTGTAGGCTGTATCTAGGGAAATGATGCTTCATATATGGGTATTTCTTCTTTAAAGGAACAGTGTCCTCGTATGTCATCTGAGCTGTAGTCTGGCCACCCGTGGCTTCTAGGACTGACTTGGTGTAGTCTTGCGATTTTGATAGTTGAAGGTCATTTGAACTCTGCGTGGGCGTGAAGTTTTCTGACTCTACTATTAGAGCAGTGGAAGCAGTTTCAGGTTTCGGTAGAGTCACTCTTATGACTTCTCCGTTGGAATGTACTGGCTTCGGTAGCCTTGAGCTGAACATGAAGAGTGGTTGATGTGAGATGCCAGTGCGCATCAAACGGTTGCAAATCAGTACCAAAAGTAGATGTCTATTATACACACAATTCTAAATCAATCCGTGATTTTTAACTAAAGAGAGTCTATAGCTCTAAAAAATGCCGTACTTCTGACAAGTGGCGAAAACCGTCATCCAGACCTTACTGACTTGCACCTTCGTGATCTCATCTGGGTCGATGTACGACTTGAACGAGGTCTCAGACACTGGCGTGGCGCCCTTGGAGGCGAACATATTCACGACAAGCATGTAAAACCAGTTAGAGGCCTTGAGCTTGAGGGGAACGTGAATCTCTTCGTCCTTCTCAGTGAGGAAAGGAGATGCTTCGGAATCCACGGAAGTCAAATAAGCTCTTTCCACGTCGTTGACCAATTCCACCATCTTGTCAGGATAATCGGTGATGACACCGTATTCTCTGAGGCGGGCCTTCAGACCCACTGTAACAAGATACTCGAGCTGCACCCGGTTGTTGACCGTCCAGGAGAACAACTTAAGATCCTCTGCCTTCAATGCTGGCAAGAACTTGGTGAGGAAATCCGTCGACCAAGTGCTGATATAAATGAGTGACACAGCCGTGCACTTGAAGTAGAATCTGTCGTTACCCAACTCCTCAACGTACTGGTTATAACCGAGGAAGCGCATAGATGTCTGCCATGCAACAGAAATATGGATGATATCAAAATGCTTGAAGCCATTACGAGGACTGGTCTTTGAGAAAAGCTCGTCGAACCAGTCATCTTGGTTCAAGTACTTCAAGAAACGTAAATCCCACAAACCTAGCTGAATGCGGGGGAACCACCAGCTAAGGTCATTGTGGACCTCAAGCATATCTTGAACGAGGAGTTTCAAGATCTTTGGAGGATTGAGCTTCTTGATATCAAGCATAATCCTGTGTTTGGCTGGTGATTCTTCCAGACTATCATATCTTTTGCCGGCCTCAACGAACCATTTTAGAAGCCCTTTAAACGTGATGATCTTTTCGTTGCTGCCGATGATACGCAAATCCTTGATATCATCGTAGTAAGACTCCAAGATGTTGAAATTCGTCTCGTTTCCGTCCTCATCGACAAACACCCTCTTGGTGTTAACGTCATGCGAGATGACTAAAACGTCATCCTTGGTGGTCCAGACATCGGTTTCGAAGATTGTAGCGCCTGCTTGGAAGCATTTCTCGAATCCATAGAGGGTGTTTTCTGGATATTTACCTTTGAAGCCACGATGACCGGCAACTAGACAATCTGGGGAAGATAGCATTCTCAAATTTGGGGTATTGGAACTGGTTAGATGGGCTGCGGTATTAGAGTCATTCAGCCACACTTAGATGGGGATTTCTTGGTGATAACTCAATAGTTTGCGGAGAAAAGCGAGGTCGGATTTTAGCCAACTTTTTTGTTTAAATAGTTTCGTGCCCTGTGCAGTTAAAATGCTGTGCATTACTGGCCCCACATGTTCTCGATTAATGAGAGTCACTACTATACATTCCCATCCAACCGGTCTGTGGCTGCTCCGCCTTGTGTACAGGAGTGGCAGGTTGGCATACTTCTTAGGCCGAGAAGCGAGGGATTTTGAGCCGAAAAAAGAAATTCAAGTGGGAACCATTTATGATACCCCCCTTCCGAAGCGGAGTATTTCCTGTTACAATAAATAAGTCAATAGAGGCAGACTGTTATACGTGCTGTTGCTTTTCTCCTTTCTTCTGTCTTTTTTGCAGACCACGCAGTCTTATTCTAATTGTTTGTTTCTTGGTAGGTCATCTTGGCTGTGACGTAGTTGCAAATGTGTGGATGCGTTTTCGCAGCCATGAGTACATAAACATAACGCTCCACACCGCCCCTTTCTAGGCGCCCTCGTCAAGTCTCATTCAGCATACCCGAACTTCCCTGTGAGCACATCGAAAAAAATTTTTCCTGCTTAGCCGAAAGACTTGTCGAAATTGACAATATAGCCCAGCGCGCTTGAAGTAACTGCACTATAAGCTCTGTCGCGGAAGCTAGAGCTTCAGCTCGTTCTTTTCAACCACTTCCTTGATCAAGTGATACGCAACTGACACGTCTGTTGGCAAAATAATGCCCTCGGACAAAGTTTCTTCGTCCTCTATGTCGTCAATGAGCTTTTTGACGAATGAAATATCAAACCAACGGGCATCAGCAAGCTCTTGGTCGTGATCTAACTGGATAACCTCGTTTTCACCATTGAAATCGACTGTAGCGATACACCCAATCATGAGATTACCAGGGAATGGCCATGGCTGAGTCATCTGGATCCTGATATCACTGCACACCACACCCGTCTCTTCCCAGATCTCTCTCTTAGCTGCAACTTCAACGGTTTCGGATGGTTCCATAAAGCCGGCTGTACACGAATACATCTTGGAGTAAGCGTATCTCTTGTTGAGAGATAAAAGAATCTTGCTCTTTTCTCTGTTCGTGATTGCTGTGATGACAACAGCATCAGTACGAGGGAACGACACGTTAGAAACCCTCGTATTCCTGACAGGACAGACATACTTTTTGTTGTCTCCCTCACCAACTGTCTCTTCGTTGGTACACTTGAGTTTGCCTCCAGCATGAATTGGAATCACTTTCGAGCCGCAGCCAGGACAGAAACGATTCCTTCCAAGCCAGTCAAAGTACATCTTACCATGGCTAAATAATGATGACTCGACGCCGGTGAATCCCATTGTGTGCTTTCTCGAGTAGGAAAAGATCAAGTCATCTTTCGACACTGATGACTCAGAATCTAAGATATGTTGCTTCACTAGATCGGCAACTTCGGGGGAATTGGTCAAGTCAACGCCAAAGAAAGGAATTCCAAAATAGCGGCCTTGATGATCAAGGTAGCACTCTGGCTCCTCGCATTTGAGTTGATGTAAATCGAGGCCCACACTCTCGTCCCTCATACCTAAGAAGAGAAACGTCGGCTTGCCCTTGTCTCGCAAGGTTGGCAACTGATCCTTGTTGTCAACGCTCCAGCGTTCAACTACCTTTTTCCATTCTTCAGTTGCAAAGAGGCCTTTCTTTGTACCGGCGGTATTTTCATGAAGAAGCTGATTATCGCCATTGGTGAGTACGATCAATTTCTCCTTGGGAGCAGCCTTATTCACCAAAGGATCACCCTTCCAATAGAAAATAAACCTTGTAGATGGATGAACGACAGCATTGGATACAAAATCCAGGTCTTCTCTCAAGAAGGACACTCGGTTGACGACTTCTTGTCCAAAGTACACTTCTCTTGCTCCAGCGTTAGGTATAGATGATTTGCGGGACGCAGACATTTTGTAGTAATTCTGAGACTTCGATAAGGCGGGTATAGATGTGGAAAGATATCGATTCTTGATGCTATGAAAACCAATGAGTGTCAGTCGACTAACAAATATGCTCAGCATATACTACGTCTTGAGATAAGCTGCGATAATAGATACTGCGGGTTGGCTGCAATTCACGTGAACCAATCCTAAAGAAGAAATGTTCAAAAGCACACGCCAAGCAGGACTATACCACTTCCACTACAATTTGTAAGGCACATAATCTAGACTTTATTGAAATAATCGCCGATATAAGGCATGTTGTTTACTGATGTGAAATTAGCTGCCTAATGAGTAGCGCATTTAAGGCAAAAAATGTCAAAAAAAAAAAAAAAAAAAAAAAAAAAAAAAACGTTCAACCAGTGAAAGAGGCGATAAGGTAAATAAAGAAGAAAAAATGTTGGGAAAGCAGAAAATGACATTTGTTTCCAAACATCCTGTTGGCTTTGGCCGGAACCACCTTCCCATCGTTCTTCCCTGGTTGTATAGTCCAGTTCGCTATGGTTGCAAAAAAGCGAGTGGATAAAGTTGTCCAGGGCATATTGCTACACCATTGACCCCAAAAGTTTCCTTATTATGTACAAGTCCTTGATGTTAGTAAATGAAAACCGAATTGAAATGCAATCAGATAATAAAAATTCTTAGATCCTTTCCTCAATGAATTTAGGAAGTCAAGCGTTCTAAAATCAAGATTGTTCATCATGATGCAATGGAAGTAACATACCCTAACGTAACGCGTTAAATATAGTGAAGTGTAGTGAAATGATTCACCTTCAGCTGAATGTTAGTATCAAACTTTGGATTTGTGTGCTGTCAGAAGAGCGTTTCCTCACAAAGAATCGGAAGTCTAACGTCTAAAAAATGCTGATGTATCATCATAAGCAATTCGACTCACATACCACTTCAACCAATAGTCATGCCATGTTTGATTGCCCGTGGCAACCCCTTGATCCATGACTTTCTAGTCTTTTTATCAATGATGACAAACACTCTACCGGATTGTCTCATTCGTCCTGTTCTGCCCACACGATGTATCAAATCAACCGATGTTCTTGGAAGGTCCATCAAAATGACATTCTTGATGCCTGAGAAGTTCAAACCTCTGGCTAACAAGTCTGTTGTGACGAGAACCTTAACGGAGCTTCCGTCAGGATCCTCTTCCTGTGGGATGGCCGGTTTGACAAAAGGCGCTATCTTTGCGGCTCTTTCATCTGCTGAATCCTTACCAGTGACTCCGATAATATCACAATCCCGATGGCCGTACTTACTAACAATGGTATCCACCAAAGGCTCGACATCTTTCTTCTCGTTGACAAAAACAACAATTCGTTTGACGTAGCCTTGTTCGGTACCATCGTTGTGAATGGCGTACAATGCCTGTGCCAAACACCTGGTCTTGGAACCGTGATATGGAGGCTGCTGTGCATCGATGACTTTGACAACAATTTGCTTAGGAATCTTGTGAATCAGTGGTGTCACAATTCTCACGACAGAGTTTTCATCTTTAAACATGCTGTTAATTGTCCGGTTGAACTCCTTTGGAATAGTAGCAGAGCACATGATTAAGTCCTTGAGCTTCGGGAACCGCTGTAATGTTCCCTTGGTATCAAGAACCCACAGCTTATCCATCAACGTGTCTGCCTCGTCGATTACACAATACTCGACACCACTGAAAAAGCGGAATGGGCGAGGAATGTTCTCCAACTTGGCGAGACCTTGAATTTTTGATGGCGTAGTGATGAGAACATCAATTCGGCCTTCCTTGGCAATTTTGAAGAGTTTTTGATGCGAATCCCCAGAACTCCACTTGACTACTTTAAGATCCAAATTCTTTTGATTCTCCGGCTGCAGAAGAAACGCCTTGTATTCAGCTGAGCGTCTGACTTTTTCGCTGACATCAGTCTCGATATCAAGCGGAATTTTGGCTCCTCTGAAGGCAGTCTCGTGCACCTGATCCACTAACTCGTGAGTAGGAAGAAGAATAACAGATCTTATGATTTCCTGCTTTTTTGCTTCTTCTAGAAGATATTCACCTTGATCGAATAAGGCCTTATCATCCTCCTTCAACTTCGAGAATACAGAAGCCAAATAAGCCCACGTTTTACCAGAACCAGTCTCTGCGGCAACCGTGAAAACTTTGAGTCTGCTTTGCTCGTTCTCCTTCATCAAGTCAGAAACAATCGACAGCTGAGCATTATCCCTTGGCTTTGTCTTTCTAGCCTGGTTGATTCTTTTGATTGCAGCGATCTGTACCGGCGATGGCCGGATGTCAAGTTGCTCTTTACCCTCAATATACGTGTTTTTGAGGTTGTACTTCTCCTTGATCTCCTTGACCATGGCACTTCTGACCGTAGGAAAGATCCGTAGCGAATCAAAGGATTCAATCTGCTCGATTGCATTCTCAGACCTCTCCAAATGACCCTTTTCGGGCTTGTGCAATGCAGAGAAGTTTCCAAAAGCAAAAAGCTTCGACTTTTTCTCTGTCGGTTTGGCATCGAGGGTTTTCGATTTTTGAGAATTGATCAATTGCTTCGGCTTCCTTCGTGACAAGTAACGTTGTATAACTTTACTAGCAGGAGCTCGTAGATGCTTAATGTTTTGGCATTGTGAAAACATATGATTTGTGTGGTTGTATGGAAAAACAGTGGGCAGAAACCCAAGGAGAAAATCTCAAAATTTTCCACTACTTTGGTGATGCGATTCACACAACGTTCTGCAGAGAGCCGTTAGGGCTTTATAAAAGGCAATACCGACCACATCGATAGTTTAAGAATGAAAAGAGATCAGGTAAAGTGTAGTAGCTTAGATTCTATATAATAGTCATAGTTAAAGCATCTCCGTACTCAAGAGGGACATTTACGAAAAAGTAGTCAATCCAAGTACTGTTATGCTGGGCCTCGACAAATACCAACCAACGATACCCGAGAATACCAAATCTTGGAAGATATAAAATGAAAAAATAACTTCCTTATTCATAGAAAATAATTTATCGTCCCTTATACAAGGAAAGATCCGTTTTGGTTGCAATTGGAAAATGGCGCACGTGACTGAACTTCAACTTGAGAAAAAAATTCAGAACCGATCTAGCTCAACAGACGAAAGCCATGTTGCCTGTCAGACAATCGTGGGGTCTTAGTGTCCACGCAAGGACGCTTTCATCCTATGCTCCATTGGCTCTGCTGAGAGAGACTCTCAGTAAGAAAGCCCGTCAGGCATTAAGAGAAGCCAGACAGCTGGCTAAGAAAGAAAAAACCCAACAGGGTAGGAAGAAGGTCAAGAAGGGAGGAATGACTCACCATTTTTTTAGAGACGCTGTTAGTGTGCTTCGATCTGAAAACAAAATTCAACCCTTGGAAAACTTGGGTGTCACCCCGCTTGAGGCAGGGGACATGGAGAACGAGAGCATAGTTTCTTACAACCAAGCCAGTCTTCCACTCTTGAAGGGTTTGAATGTTTTCAAAAGATACCAACATCACGAGCTTTTTGAAAGTCCAATTTCTGTTGTCTCGCTGAACACCAGATTGTTGTTGGACAATGTGTTGAATGAAGCGAAGAACACCAAAGAGAACAGACATTTCCTTCGAGGTGAGAGAGGAGTGGGCAAGTCCACGCTTCTCGCTCAAGCACATGCCCTTGCGTACTCAAAGTATAAGGGTGACGTTGTCATGTTGCATTTCGAGTCTCCAGAGAATATCGTGAACGGTACCTCCAACTACGTGTTTAACAAGGAGAAAGGCGTGTTCCAGCAGCCAATGTTTACGAAAAGATGGATTGGAAAGACCCGTTTCGTGAATGAAAAGGTTTTCAGAAAGATGCCTTTGACTAAGGATATCGAAGTGTCCACCGAAAAGTCTTCCTTTAAATTGAAGAAGGACAGTAACACAGTTTATGACTTCCTTCTCAGAAGTCGTGACTTTGCTAAAGCCACATCTGCTTTTGACCTCTTATGGGAGCAGCTTCAGCATCACTCAGAGAAATTCCCAGTGATCTGCACAATCGATAACTTCAATGGCCTCATCTCGAAGCCTTTCACCGAGTACCGCCACACAAATTACACTCCCATCCACCTTACCGAATTTGAGATGGGTAACTACCTTCTTGACTTGGTTACAGGTGATCTCTCCTTCAAGAAGGGAGCTGTCATTGCATGCGGCTCTAGCGCCCATGCCAATACAAAAACTCTCACAGTGGGTTTGGGACTTGAAGAATATGACCCATACTCGAGAAAGGCAGAGTGCGACAAAATTATCGCTCAACGTCTTCTCAAAAACGGCAAGATTCCAGTTGTGAATGTCAAGAACCTCACACCTGAGGAAGCCCGTTCTTTGGTCCTGTTCTATGGCCAGGCTGGTGTTTTGAAGGTCAGAGACTACCCATACAAAGAGACTATTGCCATGCCAGAAGACACAAGTTCTGCGAGCCTGATGAAGCTTGTGGGTGCTTTGCCACAGGTCATCGATGCTGAATACCAGTTTGAGAGACTCATTAAGTCAACCTTCAACGTGTCCCAGGGTAACCCAGGTCATCTTCTTAAAGCAGCCGCTTTCGACTGCTGATGTAAATAGATTCTAAAGATTAACGTATCAATACTTATCAAATCTCCCCTACTACAGTAAGTGTCATTTCTAGAATCGTGACTTTATGCTAATATACAAGGGTAATGCACACCGATAGTTCGGCCAGGACACTACGTGAACAAAGTGTCCTCTTCTCTCAAGTACTCACCAATATCACCTTGTCTAAAAGCAACGATGGCAGTTGGTTGAAGACTCTTAGCCTCGGTGGTCGACTTAGCTGAAACACCAAAACCAAGAGGCACATCATGCATGGAGAACACGATAACACCGGCGTGCTCTGGAATATCGTCAGACATTCTTCCAATGTGAGCCTTCAAAACATGGTTTCCGTACAAGAAAGGCATCTCTCCATTAGGCTTGATCCAGACCTTGTACTTGGCGTGTTGAGCCAAG